AAACTGCACTACATGCAAAGAACCAATCACACTCAAACATATCTTTAACACATGTCCCATGTACCAACACAACATGATGTATATACAAAGCAAACTTAAAAAGATAAAAGCATCAATAACATACCCATAATTCCTCTGTGCAGACAAAAAGGAAAATCTAGAAACAACATACCAAATAATACTTCAATTTCTTCAAACAACAGGCAAAATCGACCACATTTGAACTGAAACTAATTAAAAAACTTAACTACAATTCATAATTTAACACATCATACAAATAACACTAACCCACTCTAATAACCCCGATACCACCTACTACCCACACTACCACACCAACTATCTCCCTATTAACCCTCCACCCTCCTCCTCCTTAACCTTCCCCCCTTTTTTCAGGAAAATAAAGAAAAAAAAACTGGAAAGGAGACACACCCTAGCAGCCCTAGCAGTCAGACAAAAACCATAATGGGGAGGAAAAACCATTAACATCAATAACAACAACAAACTCACTACGACAAAAATAAAAAAAACAGTCGGTGGAGATAACAAAAACCAAAGAAGATGAACAACCAGCCCAGGAAAACAACTCCAAAACAGGCTAAAACACCCAAAGAAGAATGGAAAAAGACACCAAAGAGAAGGCCGAAACAAAAGAAACAGAGAAACAACCTTTGGCAAAATGGAAAGATACATAACAAATAGCCAAAAAAAAGCAAGAAGCATAAAAGCTTCTGACGAAATGAAAAGATTCTAACACAAAAAGCCAAAAGCTACCAAAAAATCCAGACACCACCGAGGAAGTGAAAAGATGCATAACACATATAGCCAACAGAAACCAAGGGTGGCTAGAAAGCACTGCTAGCCACCCATAATACCCCATACAAAACCCAAAATAAATAAAACCTTCCCTCCAACAAACCAACAAATAAGGGAAAGTTAAGAAATCAATTTAACTCCCAATAACCCAATCCCGCACGCAAAACAAGAACACAAAACGCACCATCACACAACAAAAACAGTAAATCATAGAGTACCCACTTTGACTACTCAATCAACTAAAAGTAAAACCCCAAGTACCCACACTCACACACAAAAACACCAATAAGGTGTTGGAACGTTCAAATGCTAAAAGGGACAGTCCAGAACTAACCTCCCTCCCTCTGCTGTCCCATAAACCCCTCCCCAAAGCAAAGCGATAAAAATACAGTATGGGCCGCGTGGGCCAACTGTTTAACGAAACAGAAAACTCAGTCTTCACTTTGGTAAATGAAGAACACCAACCGAACATGATCCTTTGGAAAGGCGAACAAAACGATACCAACCGAAATAAAATACAGGCAAAAGGTGACCCACACCCAACAGATTGGGAAAATCAATTTAGAACCATATAAGTATGCTAAGTAGACAAAATTCAAACAATAATATATTCAAAAATCACAACTAAGAGGCATTCGACACATTGCAAAGGTGGCTAACACAATATTAGCATAAGGAATTCCGTAGGAAAAACTGGATAATAATTTGACCAGATAAAACCTACCTAACTGAAATAAAGTTAGGTGGGAAAAGGTGACTTGTGGTGCGGGGAAGGCTACCCGGGTGGGAGAACTGGTTGCGGGCCTGCCATTGGAGAGCGATGGGGTGCGTTCCATTGAATATGCTTCATAAAGTTCCAGAAGGCTCAGCTCGGGGCCAAGCGTCCTCTTAAAGAGACATTCGCCCAGCCTAAGGGCCACAAACAGTCGCACTAATGCCACCGGCAGTAAGCTACTATAATCCCAATGTTCGTTCCAATATATACATACATAATATGACCAGTCCTGTTTTGGAAACTGAAGAAGACAGAGGTGTGTCTTGGTGCTCTCAGCAACTACTGGGGACTACGATGGATATAGGGAAGAATGGCAACTCAGAGCTGGATTTGGATCATATTAGGGGTGATTCTCTTCAGACTGACTAACAATGTAAATGGCGATAAGGATAATGTAAATTTAAAGTAAAGTAAAGTAAAGTAATGTAAAATTATTGATTATTGTGAAATATATTCTTAAAGTCACTCGCTAACAAACTCAATTATCTCAGTACTTCCTTTATTAACATTAATTCCACTAATTCAATAAAAGTCAAATGCACTCTCACTGTTACAAATAACAGCGTTAAACACTTCTATTGTCACAACAGAACGAACTAAACGGTAGAACACGTATAATAATAATCAAACCCTTTGTAAAGTGGGGTTAATCTTATCTACCTCTGGAATTCTTTCAATTCTGATCGAAGTAGCATTTCTTTGTCTTACTATGCAATTTCTGTTTGCCATACCAGAATAAATATAGAAGCGAGTTACAAAATCGGTACCTCTCTCTTAATAAGCAAATTATATAAGGTCGCAGCTGATTGGTCGAAATTTAGGCGTGCACTTCATCTAACTGATAAACAATAATGGCTTAGGAAATGATTGAATTGCAGACATAGACCAGCCAATCAGAACTGAAATCATTAAGACTTGCACAAAAATCAATAATAATAAATATTTATAATAGAATAAATTAAACTAGTCACAATCCATAACTTTACGTTATATAATATCCTAATTAATATTGCTTCGTCTGATCAAGCTTATTAATAACCATAACAATAAACTTAGGTTAAATTAATAATAACTTTAATATAAAGAATTTGATTAGGAAAATATTTATTAATAGTTGTAAGTTGTATAGTATTTAATTAATTAATATATTCAAAAATGGATAACTACTTATAACTATCCAACGGACATTATGACAATTTACTTGGACACGAATCATCAGAAGAACATAAACCTGAAGAAATACAAGATGACATCGATAGGAGGAACAGTCTCAAAAGAAGTCCTACAGGAAACAAGAGAAAGACAGCTGAGAGAACATCTACTACAACAACCCATATGAAAGTTATACTAACTTTCATAGCCTCATAAGATCAGCAGCTTCATCACAGCTACAAATTTAATTGTGGCTTGACCTTCTTCATCTAGAGAAATGTTATCATAGGTGAACATTAACAACATAAACTGCCAGTATGAAAAGATTTTATGACTTTAATTGCCATTATGAAAAGATGTTACTGTTCAATAACTGCCTAAACCTCAAACAAGGGACAGTTCATGAAGTTCTTACTGCTGTCCCACAAACCACTCACCCACACACTCACACACAAAACATCTTAAAAGGTGTTGGCATCGATTCAAAGGTAAGGGACAGTCCAGGACTAACCTCCTTCCCCCTACTTTCCTATTATCCCCTCCCTGGACACGAACAAGCTCTGTAGAGAGGGACAGACCGGGCCGCGCAGCCAACTGTCGAGCATAATATATTATAACTCAGTCTTCACTTTGGCATTGAAGACCCTTAAACAAATATGATCCTTTGGAATGGCGGTCAAAATTAAACAACCAAGTCAAATTATGCGGTGGTAAAAAACATAATGGGTGACATCCACCCAACAGATTGAAGGAAATTTTAGGCCCTTATAAGTACGCCAAGTACACAAAATTCAAACATTAATATATCCAAAAATCACAACTCAGAGGCATTCGATAAATTGAAAAGGTGGCTAACACAACATTGGCATAAGGAATCCCGTAAACACAACTGGATACAATATGACCAAATAGCATACCTAACTGAAATAAAGTTAGGTAGGCTAAAACGCGATGACTTCGGAGTAGGGACGGCGGCCCGAGTGGGAGACCTGTTTGCGAGTCTATCGTTTGAGAGCGATGAAAAGCGTTAGATTGGGGACATTTACGAATCCAGAAAGGCCCAGCTCGGGGCCAAGCGCTGTCTTAAAGGGACATACGCCCAGCCTAGGGCCACAACCAGTCGCACTAATGCCACAGGCAGTATGCGACTATAATCCAACTGCTGATGCTCCAACATGGCCATTTACTGTTGACTCGTCAGCCTATGAAGATGCGTTCCAGACTAACTAAACTGAATGAAGCTTATGTTCAATTACATTGTGTCAGGCTAAACCTGATACCTAAGCATGAAGAAATAAAGAATGTCAGGATGCTCTGCATAACCCAAGACCTGATAGAAGAGATCTTTAGAGAGGAAATTAAGAAATAACAAAAAGAATTTACTGAGAAATACAGACTTCAGAAGAAGCAGAGAGAAAAACAAAAACAGCAACAGCAACAGCTGCAGTAAGAACCAGACAGAGGTTTTGTGGAGTGTCGAATAAACAACAAAGAATTATATTTCTCTTTTCGCAAAAGCAGGCCATATCGCATAGGAATGCCTTCTGTCAAACGGGGACGCAATTTAAGACGGTACAAAATGATTGCCAATCATCCCGTAAACTAAAACAAAACAAATGCCCTTTTCTGGGCTACCCAATGTTCTCGAAAAGACATATTCATTAAATTTGCCAAAATTGAAATTAGGAAAAAGAAGTGTATCTATGAGCACTTCGTTTCTCTGTCATGTCCAAAACGTATCTATCTGTGTTGTTAAGTAAAAAAGTATAAAAAATCAACATGATTGTTTTTTTCTTTTAAGTTTCATGTGATGGTAAGTTTGGGTATTAGGATATATTTTCCTTCATGTCCGCGATTCACGTATATGAAGCGGCACAATCGTCAGTCTACCTACCCATTGTAGACGTATCAACGCTGAAAATTGCATCAGAATTGCTAAACTTTTAGAACTCCATATGCACCTGGAATATGTATGTTAGGCGCATTTAGATGAGCTGACAAGGGAAGCCATTGAGGTGAAAGCTGTTGTGATTATTATTTTTAACGTAGCTTTAACAATTTTTCAGTCATATCGCTACAATATCTTCAGTGTGGCAGTTTATAGTAATGTCTAGCACTGGGGCATCATGCCGCATACATGTATCATGATTCCCCACCCAGTCACATTATCCTGACACCATTATCCAGTCCTAACACTAGCCTCATAATGCTGAGCGTCAAGCAAGGCAGCTGTTAGTACCATTTTTGTAAGTTTTTGGTATGACTCGACCGGGTATAAAACCCACGACCCACCCGCATCCGAAGCGGACGTTCTAACCACTAGGCCACCGGAGCTGTTGAAAGAGAGAATAGAAGAGAAGGAGAAAGAGATGAAAATGAAAAAAGAGGAGGAAAGAATCATGCCTCACCTCTTCATTTTACATTTGTATGAGGTGAAAACTGATATGAGGACACGTTCAGCAGTTGCAGAGCACCAATACCACTACCACTAGTACCAAGACTCGCTATCCATCAGATGGAAAACTGGTAGGAAATTAGGGAGGGTCTTGCACAGAAGACAGAGGGCACAAGTCTTCAGAATCCCAGAAACTGAAGACTGGGAATCTGAAGCCACTCATCCTCTCTCTACGCTCTCATCCACACGCATTTTTTGAGAGCAGGACTGGAACCGGCGAAGCGTGTGTGGTGCCTGCCATGGAAGATGCCAGCATTATCCAGGTGTAATCAGAGTTCTCGAAAACAGCCCGTCTCAAATTTAAACAAATCTTTAGAAAACACATATTATTCAAGATGCCAATTTGTGTGAGTACAGATTAGTGTAATTATAAACACTCACTCCATTACTGCTGAGTGTGCGTGTGAGAGTGTATGTGTATCCGTGCGTTTGCATGAGTATTTGTTGGTGATGAAGGTATTATTGTATGTGTTTTATGCATGCTTGTTCGTTGCTGTGGATAGGATATTTGTATGTGTTTTATGCATGCTTTTTCCTTAGTGTGTATAGTATATTTGTATGTGTTTTATGCTTGCTCGTTGATTAGTGTGGATAGTATATTTGTATGTTCTATGCTTGCTCGTTCGTTGGTGTTGATAGTATATTGGTGCCTTTTATGCCTGCGCGTTCGTAAGTGTAGATAGTATATTTATGTGTTTTATACTTGCTCATTCGTTAGTGTGGATAGCTTATTTGTGTGTTTTATGCTTGCTCGTTCGTTGGTGTGGATAGTATATTTGTGTTTTTTTTTCTCTCATCCTGATGGTTTGGATAGTATATGAAGTATGTTTTTATCTCGTTTCTTTGGTGTGGATAGTATGTAATATGTAATTTATGCTTGCTCGTTCGTTGTTTTGGATAGTGGATAATACGTGAAGTGAATACAAGGGATGTTTTCCTTTACGTCCGTGTTGGACATATATATATATATATATATATATATATATATATATATATATATATATATATATATATATATATATATATATATATATATATATATATATATATATATATATATATATATATATATATATATATATAGACATAGCGTTCGTCATTCGCGCCATTAAGGAGAAGAAAACAATGGATCTGATAACCATATCAAGATATAGTTGGTGGTGGATGATATATGGGGTCCATGTGGTGGAAAGACTCAAAATGGAGTGGAAGTTTGAAGTTAGCCTAGTCTTTCTGGCGAGACTCATAGCAGCCAATTATGAACTATAAGGTGTGATTTTGGAGGAAGCGGATACGTTAAGAGAATTCAACTATCCAAAATATGTCAGAGAAGGCACATTGAAAGAAATTTTGGATGTTGTTTTTGAAGTAAGGTGTTATTTGGAATAAATCTTCCTTTTAACCAACTGGCCTTATGTCAAAAAAGGTTTAGAAGATATAAAGAAAGAGGAAGACATTGTCAAAAAGGTATTGGTAGGAGAAGTGAAGAAAACAAAAGTGACCTGGGCAAAAGAAAGAAAGGACAAAGAAAAAAAAACATTAAGAGGAAAGAAGAGTTTAAGAAACTAAAAAGCAGCTGGATGATGGTCCAAGACATATTCCAGAGCTTTGGGACATCCTGACTGGATGCCTGAAGAAGAAGAAGAAGAAGAAGAAGAAGAAGAAGAAGAAGAAGAAGAAGAAGAAGAAGAAGAAGAAGAAGAAGAAGAAGAAGAAGAAGAAGAAAACAATGGCCTTTTTCAGGGCCAATCCATTGGCTCGAAAAGATAATCATTTTTACATTGCCTAAACAATTTTTGTAAAACAAAATAAATTGTATAGTTATAAAACATATTACTATATTCACCAAAACGAACCGTGACGTCATGCCACCTTTACCATTCATCTTCTTCCAATAGAAAATTCCCAATAGAGGCGTCTTTGAACTCCCGTGGAATCCTTTCCTGGTTCCACATGGAAACGAAGAGGTCATTAATCTTCTGCATCAGTCAGGGGCCACCAGCTGCGTAGACTTCCGCTTGAATGGATTCAGAACATAAAAGAAAGTATTGATCTGTTATCCAAACCTGCACAGACGTCGGACTAACAATAAGTATGATGAAGACGGAAATCATGTACCAGCCGCAACCTTCAATCCCCTACAATGAACGCAGAAAGTTCTGTCGATGGCCAGAAGCTCGATGCTGCTGACAAGTTCATCTATCTTGGCTGCACTTTGTAATGCACAGTCTACATCGATGAAGAGGTCACCCTCAGGATTGCTCGTGCAAGTGCAGCATTCGACAGACTTTACAATTTTGTGTGGAACAGAAGAAGAATCAGCCTGCAAACCATGATCAAGGTGTAACCCGCAGTAGCACTGCCCTCCCTCTTGTACACCTGTGAGACATGGAGGGTGTACAGTCGCCATGAAAGACAGCCAAACTCCTTCCACATGCGTTGCCTCAGAAAGATGCTCAACATCAAATGGCAGGACAAGACTTCTAACACAGAAGTCCTTCAGAGAGCTGAGATGAAAAGCATCCATTCTATGCCATGCTTAGAAGGGCACAACTCCGATGGGCTGGCCATGTCTGCCATATGCCTGATGCCTGCATCACAAAGTGGATATTTTTTGGGGAACTAACTGATAGCAAGCATTTTAGAGGGAGGAGGCCAAAAGCAACTGTACAAAGACACGCTAAAAGCTTCATTAATGTCTTGAGGCATTGATCCAGACAGCAGGGAGCACTTCGCCAAAGACCGCGCTGCCATGCGTCACCAGATCAACTCGGAAACAGCTGCTTTTGAAGAGCGCCGAATCAATGAGGCAGCAGCAGAGAGGCTGAACCCTACAACGTTTTAGAGATCTTAGTTTTTAAAATTAAGGGTTCCTACGAAGGCTGAAAAAAGTTTTTGCCTTAATAATGAAATCTTCTCTAATTGACCAAATTTTTGCTCGATTTATCCACATCTGGTCACTACGCGTATGTCGTTCAGCCTCTCTACAGCTATAAATTAAACAGCCACTATAAATATTATCAATAAAGAGTAATGGAGAACCACATTCAGCTAAATTAGCTCTAGAGCGACTAGAGGCATTTAACAAATATCTACCTGTTCGAGATTCTGTTAAGCAACAACTACAATCGCGTACGGAATCTCAATTTGAATTTGAAAAGGATACAAAACAATTATTTAAACCAATTGTCGAACCAACGAAGAAAATTGTTATAGCAACTGAGACAACACAAAGAGCTCTTGCAACATTGCCTGCTGATATTGCTCGTATTCAAGCAACTCAACCACCACCCGTTCAACATCCTCAACCACCACCCGTTACATCTCCTCAACCATGAAGAACCAGAACTAAGAAAATGGAAAATTTACGCCTGAAGGTATTGCTGATATCAGGGATTCAAAACAAGTATTTGATATTTCCGCGTTTGAATATTATGAAAGACAAAAATATGTAAAACCAGAATATGTTAAATCTCTAAGCTCTTCCAATTCGATCAAGGATGTATATCGCATCGCTACTGGTACTCCAGAAATCAGATCTAATGAAAAATATAGAGATTATAACAAATTTGTTGAAATTCTAAATGAACATATAAAAGAAATGCTAAAACAACAAGAACAAGAACGACAAGGAACAATGAAACTATTGCAATCAGAACCATCATCACTAGATCTTAAATTACCATTACCAGAGATACCAGTACCACGACTACAACCACTACTACAACAATAACAACAATAACAGTGACAACAAGAAATACAACGACAACGAGAACAACGATGAGAACAATTACGAGAACAACGATTATCCAGTATCACCAAAAACACCATCAAAACCAAGTAAAAAAGCACTAACGAAACCAAATGAAGAGGAAGAAGAAGTATTTCAAGACGTTCCCGGCGTAACTTGAAGTGATTTAGGAAGCGGTCTTATTACTTGTCCCAATAATGTTCTTGCTGACGTCGATGGACTAGAAATCATCATTGGAGGAAAACGAGCTGGTAATAATTCATCATAAATCATTACTGAAGCAGCTGATATTTGCAAATGATTATTTAGTGGCGGAATTATGGACATTGATGTGTATGGGTGCCCCAATAATGAAATCGCCGATGACTACCACAGTGATTAGATACAATTAGTGATAAAATCAGTTAATAATAAAATGATCGTGCATGGTAATCAATGTGGACCAACCATGGTCAGGGTAATAAACTCTCGATTACCGGTATACTGAACAATCTACGGAGATGGACTAGGTGATGCTGTTCAGGGTCTGTTTAGAAGAACAGCCCCAAAAGAAATGCCTATTGCAAAGCAGCTAGAAATGAAAGCTATTGATGTTGTTCGTAAAAAAAGTATAGGCGCTGTTGGTAATATTGCTATCAAAACAATCAAAGATAGACTATCAAGATTAATACGCAAACCACAAGTTGCTCTACCTCAATCTGTCAAATTAAGCTAGCACTGAAGTGATGCCCGCAAGTGTAAGTAAAATAATAAATCAAGCCTCTAATCAAAAACTAGCGGAGTTGGTTGATTTCCCAATGTCGGAAAAGGAAAAAAATAAATAACCGCTAGTCTGATAGCAGGAAGTGGTCTTCGTGTTAGACTAAGATGATAATACTAAAGATGTTCAAGCGTATTTCTGACCTCGCATTTGACATATACGCACCAGTTCTCAAAGATGAGTCTGTGCGAGATTATCAGTTTTATTCTTATGACGCCCGAATGCCAGATCAGCGTGCTCAAATTGAACTACGAGTTCAGAATACAAGTAGATATTTCTTACCCGCTGAAGCATTTATTGAAGTCGAAGGTGAAATTTTAAATAACATTCACCCTGCAGCACCAGTAACATATGCAGCCGATGTTAGGG